TGCCTGCAGCGACAAGTACGTGAATGGGTACAGATGTGGCAAAAGGATACCTCAGCACATCAACGGCTACGACAAGGCTGGCAAGCTAATATCGAACGTCTGGCCCAGATGCGAACCCGTGGAAAGTGGAACTCAGTGACAGGACCAATTTGGGCACTTATTCTCTCATTGCAACAGCTGGGGTGGGATCCACGCATGCCAGATGAGTGGGGGGATGCTAGTGGCGAGACGTGGAGGTTCCAGAGTGTGGGAGTGCTCGACTTTCGCGACATCATGAAGTCCATCACCAGGGACATGCAAGCTCAGCTCTGGACCAAAGCAGCGGACCACTACTACGGTAAGGGCATGCAGCACGGGATGGACACCACCATGCTCAAGAAGACGCTCCAGAAACTACGTAAAGCTGACCGGGTCCAAGAAGCAGGCGCGTTAGAAGCACTTGCTTGTGGCACGATATGGACAGGACAACGATGTAAAGCAGCAGGATACCAGACATATTGAATTTGTCCGCGTTGTACTAAGGCGCCTGACACGCTGAAGCACAGGATCTACGAGTGCGAAATGAACGACAACCTCCAGATTGACGCGGTGGTCAAGTCACAGTCGCTATGTCAGAAAGCCTTAGAGGAGATGCACGACAACCCAGAGACGGAGGCATACTGGCTACGAGGGCTACTACCCAAGCACAGGAATCCTGTACCTGATCCACCAGCATGGGGTGATTGGAATGGCAGCTGCTGGACGACAGCAATAAGAGGACCCAAGTTAATAGCAAACAATTTGGTCACGATGGATCCCGTTCTGCGCAGAATGGCTTTCGTAGATGGATCAGGCACCAGCAACGACATGCGCATCAATAGAGTGGGGTGGGGCCTCACATTACAGCTACGAGATGAACGATGGAAGCGGCCAGGGCAAGCGCGCATGTGGTGCCCCAACGCCCTCGTGGCACAAGGGGGCCCAACTGAGTTGTGCCATGAAGCAGAAGCTAGTGCACCAACGGACACAGAAGCGGAGGAGCAGAGAAAGGGCATCATGCACGACCTTGGCATATGGGCAGCTACATGGGCGGTATACATCGACCTAGACGAGGACAGGAACCAAGCTAATTGGAAGATGTGGTGTGGACCGTACATGGAAAGTTACCTGCGACAGCCAGAACAAGCAGCACTACGACAATTACTCAAAGCAAGATACCAGACCCGAAGCACTAGCCAGATCGCGAAGGACCTTTGTGATATGCAATGGAGATCGTCCAAGAAGAAGCGGAAAGACGCGCACGATTATTCCCTCACCCTTACGGGCTGGGAAAGAGAAGCATACATATCCCACTGGTTCGACAGCGTAGCGGACATCGAGGCCAAGTTCCGCGAATTATTGCAAGACCGAGCACCCACTTTCGACCGGGAAATGCTTGGAAAATACGAAGACAATGATGAGGACCGACCAGCAGCCATGCACGTGGTGGCCCACGAGATCTACAAGGCCAGCCTGCCGAACGACAACACGGGCTTCATTGAAGGCACAGACCATATCGGGTTCTATGGCACCGTAGATGGAGAACAAAGTGTACCTGCTGCTGAACATGCAGGACTTGTCTGGGCATTGGCGCTGACGCGAGGCCCGTTATTGACCATCGCGGACTGCCAGGTGGCTATGAATGGCTGGACCCTCAAGTACTACGAGCAGCCCCAATGTGCTCAGCGACCATGGTGGGGCCAGATAAAACCTATGCTCAGCAGTCGATCTGGCGGCGTGTATGGAGTACGTGTCTAGAAGTGCTTATCCCACCTCGACGGCGAATCGGTTAAGCAGGCTGGCCAGGAGTTCCACATCAGCATGGGCAATGAGATGGCGGATGCGTTGGCGCAGCGTGGAGCAGAAGAGGCAATGGCAGAAATACGGCAGGAGGTCAAGGCGTTGGTGGAAGTGGAAACTACACTTATGAGGGCCCAAAGGCGGGCAGCAGCGATCATCCACGAGGTGTGCAAGGATGCGGACCCCACCAAGCTTGAGAGGCCCAAGCAGATGCCTAAGAAAATAGCAAAGGAAAGAAGATATCAAATCGAGAAGGAGTCGGGTCACATACTGCGAAAGAAGAAAGGGCAATGGGTATGCCAAGAGTGCTGGCTAACCCCAGGTAAGTACAGCGTGGTCGACTGGATGAAGGCTAACGTGTGCTTCGGGAGGCAGTACGAGACACACCGAGCATATCATGGACATGCAGTCCGTGTTCCCAACAACGAGTTGATTGAGATCAAAAACAAAGTGGTCCACGACAGCCACAGCATTGCAGTGGCCCATGGGCAGATGGGCAGTTCTGGTGCTGGAATTGTGCTGCGGTGGCCTCGCACAACGACTACGGACACGGCAGAGTGAACCTATTGGCGACGGAGTGCAGGAACAAGATCACGCAGAGCGGGACTACCGTACTTCGTCGGCTACGACAAGGACTACCACCAAAGGCTGGCCAGAATTGGCCAGATGGGACGATCCCGCCTAACGGCGGACAGATACCACGGGTTGCAGCTGGGCGACGACCTCGTGGTTGACTTCATTGCACGGGGCTACGGCCCCGCAGAGATACTCTGGCCTGGAGTGCCAGTGGGGTAGACGCCCGCCCTGTTCAGGGGGTGGGGTCGCGACCCCTGAGAGCCCGCGCGGCCTGCGCGGGCGGGGGCCGCGGCGGCCGAGTCGACCGCGGAGCCCCTCGCTCGAATGTCCTCGAATGTCCTCCTCCTCCTCCTCCAGTCCTCCTCCTCCTCCTCCAGTCCTCCTCCTCCTCCAGTCCTCCTCCTCCTCCTCCTCCTCCTCCTCCTCCTCCTCCTCCTCCTCCAGTCCTCCTCCTCCCGTCCTCCTCCTCCAGTCCTCCGTCCTCCTCCTCTTCCTCCAGTCCTCCTCCTCCTCCTCCTCCTCCTCCTCCAGTCCTCCTCCTCCAGTCCTCTCCTCCTCCTCCTCCTCCTCCAGTCCTCCTCTCCTCTCCTCCTCCAGTCCTCCTCCTCCAGTCTCCTCCCCTCCCCCTCCTCCCTCCTCCTCCTCCTCCTCCTCCTCCTCCTCCTCCAGTCCTCCTCCTCCTCCTCCGTCCTCCTCCTCCAGTCCTCCTCCTCAGTCCTCCTCCTCCTCCTCATCCTCCTCCTCCTCCCTCCTCCCCCCTCCTCCAGTCCTCCGGTCCCCTCCTCTCCTCCTCCTCCCTCTCCTCCTCCTCCTCCAGTCCTCCTCCTCCTTCCCTCTTCCTCCAGTCCTCCTCCTCCAGTCATCCTCCTCCTCCTCCTCCTGTCCTCCTTCTCCTCCTCCTCCTCCTCCTCCACCTCCTCCTCCTCCACTCCTTCTCCTCCAGTCCTCCTCCTCCTCCTCCCCACCTCCTCCACTCCTCCACCTCCTCCACCTCCTCCTCCTCGTCCTCCTCTCCTCCTCCTCTCCAGTCCTCCTCATCCTCCTCCAGTCTTCCTCCTCCAGTCTTCCTCATCCAGTCTCCTCCTCCAGTCCTCCTCCAGTCCTCCTCCTCCTCCCCTCCTTTCCTCCTCCTCCTCCTCCTCCTCCTCCTCCTCCTCCTCCTCCTCCTCCTTTTTCTTCCTCCTATCCTCCTCCTCCTCCTCCTCCTCCTCCTCCTCCTCCTCCTCGGACGAGGTGCCGCAATCGGCGGCGAGCGATGGGGGGAAGTGAGAAGGAAAAGGCCTTCCCAGAGGGCGGCGGAGCTTCTCCGAAGCCCCCAGCCTGCCGAGAGGTCTTCTGCATCTGCTGGGAAGGCTTGGAAGACTTCTCAGAGAGCCGGGGGACTGCGAAGCCTTCTCAGAGCGTTCTGGAACGAGTTTATCCTCGTCCTAGCCCTGTCCTGCCCTGGTTACCCCCGCCTCCCATCGATTCAGGGGAATCGATGGTCGGTGGGGGTCGGCTTCAGGTGTCACCGCGTGGGGATAACCAAGCGGATGGTATATGAAATTGCACACGCCGCAGCCATGCCGCAGCCTTTGATGGCAGAGCTCACGACAGGGAGGGCGGTTTTCCTGGAAGACCGCCCCACCTGGGGCAGAGCCCCCCTCCCCCTCCTCCTCCTCCTCCTCCTCCTCCTCCTCCTCCTCCTCCTCCTCCTCATCCGTCTTCCTCCTTCGTTATCCTCCTCCTCCTCCTTCTCCTCCTCTATGTTCCTGCTCCTCCTCCTCCTCCACCTCCTCCTCCTCCTCCTCCTCTCTCCTCCTCCTCCTCCTCCTCCACCTCCTCCTCCCCTCCTCCTCCCCCCCTCCTCCTCCTCCTCCCTCCTCCTCCTCCTCCTCCTTCTCCCCCTCCTCCTCCTCATCCTCCCTCTCCTCCTCCGCCTCCCCTCCTCCTCCTCCTCCTCCTCCTCCTCCTCCTCCTCCTCCTCCTCCTCCTCCTCCTCCTCCTCCTCCTCCTCCTCCTCCTCCTCCTCCTCCTCCTCCTCCTCCCTCCTCCTCCTCCTCCTCCTCCTCCTCCTCCTCCTCCTCCTTCTCCTCCTCCTCCTCCTCCTGGAAGACCGCCATCTCTCCGCCACCTTCTTCTCGCCCTGGCCGTCCCCGCTCTCCTGGGGCCGCCCCGAGGGTGCGAAGTTGCAGTCAGGGCGCCTGGTAGGGACGCGCGCCTTCGGTTAGGGTGTCCCTGCGCCCTTGCCTCTGTGGCCCGGCCTTGTGCCTTTATCACTGTCTGATTTTAATTTCGGCCTCCAAGCTCTTGCGTCCTCGCTACCCGTCCCCTGATGCACGATTCGGCTGGAGTCTCGCTTCGCGGTCTGGGCGCCTTCAGAGCGAGGAGCGAACCTCTCATCCTGTTCCGGGGGGGGGGGGGGGCGCGAAAGCGCGAAGACAGTCGCGCTTCGTGGATCGCGACAGCGCGAAGGTAGACGCCCCAGGCCCCCTGCCTCCTCCTGCGGAGGAGGCGGACGAGGCTGCGGAGGACGCTGCCGCTCCCCTCGCCCGCGGGCGTCCCTCTCTCCGCCGCCCCCCGCCCCCGCTCGGCCCGGCCCTCCCGGGGCCGCGGCGGAGGTCCGCATGCTGCGCTTCCTCCCGGAGCTGATGATCATGATCAAAGGACCGCAGCGCGCAGCGACCGCGCGCCGCCAGGGCGGCGGGAGGAGGAGCCGGAGGATCGGGCGGCTGACGATGATGACGATGATGACGACGACGATGATGATGAAGATGGTGATGAACATGACGATGACGATGACGATGACGACGACGACGGCGATGACGACGACGATGACGATGATGATGATGCTGATGATGATGGTGATGATGATGCTTATGATGATGATGGCGATGATGAAGATGGCTTGATGCTGCTGATGACGATGATGATGATGACGATGACGATGACGACGATGATGATTATGCTCATCACGATGACTATGACGCTGATGATGATGATGACGGTGATGACGATGACGGTGACGACGACGATGATGATGACGACTAGTTACGATGACGATGATGACGACGATGACGATGACGACGATGATGATGACGATGCGCTGATGATGATGCTGATGATGAAGATGATGATGATGATCATGCTGATGACGATCATGATGATGATGATGCTGATGCTGATGCTGATGATGATCCTGATGCTGATGATCTGCGTCACCCCAACATTCTTATACTGTATGTGCGTCGCCCCTCACAGGGGCGACGCGCGCACCGAGAAATCTTATAGTATATGCGTCGTGGCGGGCGCGTTCTGGCCACACCGCTCGGGAAACGATATACTACAAGATGGGTATACTATATGTTCGGGTCGGACGCGCGCCTCCAAGCAGGACGTATAGTACCAATATGTCCCTGGGCGTCCCAGATGATGATGCTGCTGCTGCTGCTGCTGCTGATGATCATGCTAATGATGATGATGATGATGATGATGATGATGATGATGATGATGATGATGATGATGATGATGACGATGACGATGCTGATGATGATGATGATGATGACGATGCTGATGATGATGATGACGATGCTGTTGATGATGATGATGCTGATGACGGTGACGATGTTGATAATGATGTTGATGATGATGATGATGATGAATAATATGATAATGATGATGATGATGCTGATGCTGATGCTGATGACGAATATGATGTGACGATGAGGATGATGATGACTGATGATGCTTATGAGGTAATGGTGAGAACGATGATGATGCTGATGTTGCTGATGATGCTGATGACGCTGATTATGATGATGCTGATGATGATGATGCTGATGATGATGACGCTGGTAATGTTGGTGATGCTGATTATGATGCTGATGATGCTGATGAGGATGAGGATGAGGATGCTTATGAAGCTGATGCTGACGATGCTGATGATGCTGACGCTGGTGATGATGATGATGCTGATGACGATGACGATGCTGATTATGATGCTGATGATGCTAGTGATGACTATGATGATGATGATGCTGCTGATGAGGGTAAGGATGAGGGTGATGATGCTGATGATGATGATCATGATGAGGATGCGGATGAGGACGAGGATGAGGATGGTGATGATGATGCTTATGCTTATGCTTATGCTGATGATGATGATGCTGCTGATGATCATGCTAATGATGATGGCGATGACGATGCTGACGATTATGATGATGACGATGATGATGCTGATGATGATGACGATGATGCTGATGACGATGACGATGCTGATTGTGATGCTGATGATGCTGGTGATGACCATGATGCTGCTGCTGATGATGATGTTGATGTTGATGCTCATGCTGATGATGCTGCTGATGATGCTGATGATGATGATGATGATGATGATGATGCTCATGATGGTGATGTTGGTGTTGATGATGATGATGATGATGATGATGATGATGATGATGATGATGATGATGATGGTGATGATGATGATGATGATGATGATGATGAGGAGGAGGAGGAGGAGGAGAAGGAGGAAGAGGAAGAGGAGGAAGAGGAGGAGGCTGCTGAAGTTTGGCATGTGTAGTGCTGCGGACGTCTAGGCGCGCACGGGGCGCCATGATCTGTGAGGAGGACTCTTACCTCGCCTTTTTGTCATTGCTGGGGGCACGCTCTGTTTGCAAGACGTGCCCCATCGAGAATCGAGAGTATCGAGAGTCGAGGTCAGGGGTAGCATTGGGGGGGATGGCTCAGGGGGGAATGCATCGACCCCCAGTCGCCTACTGATCGCCGACAGGGGCTCGATAGCCCCCCCCCCCGCCCAGGAATGTGCGGTTTCGCGAATGGCGGGCCTATCTCCGATCTATCGGCGATGTGTCGCCGATTCCAGGGCGACGTCCTCCCCTCACCCCTGAGCTGGTCCGAGCTGGTCTCCCCCCCTAACCTTTCCCCTCGGGGGCGGGCCGGCGAGGGAGGGAGGGAGGGACGATGAGGGTGAGGAGAGGTGGTGACGTCTCCTTTGAGGATCTGCTGGTCAGAGGATGGCACGTCAGCGACGTGGCCGCACCTGGAGACAGCAGACCGTGCCCCCAAAGAGGACAGCACCACTGCGCAGCTGGTGGTTTGGATCGGCGTGTCGCCGAGGCACGAGACGAAGTCACGGAGACCATCGCCTGGTCAATTAAACGATGCGGACAGATCAGGGTCCGGCAGCGACCAAATGAAAAGGGATGGTGTACAGTATTGGATTCAAGTCCAATTCCTGACGCTGCGCGTGTTCCCACCAGTGCCGGCCTGCGCCTGTCTTAGCTAATTCGCCTAGTTCGCGTCCCGGACTTTGCTTTCGCCGCCTGACCGTCGTCTCGCGGCCGCGACCGAAAAGTGTTCCCACCAGCTGCTAATTTGACAGGCCCGTGGCCCGGACCTCTCAGTTCGGCGACTGCGAATCCGCGTCCGCCCGCGACCAAAAAAAAGTGTTCCCAGCAGCCCATCTCAAAATCACCAGGCGAGTTGTCCTGATCAGGAATGTGTAGCAGCATGCAGTCACGCCCTGGGAGCCTCTTGGAGGCATCTTGGGGCCCTCACAGAACTACGAACAACACTACCCTGCCATACAGCTAACATTGATTAAACCGCTTCTCGCCTTGAGCTACCTAGTGTTGTATCATTGTTGTCGTTTGCCAGTGTGTTTGCTGGAATTCGGAAGTTGTTGCGTCGTGTTAGTCTCTCCGAACTGTCGTGTGAAGCTGGCGCGTGGGAAGCAGTCGCTGAGAAGATGCAGGGGCACATATCCAAGGAGTGAGTATCCACCCAAGCACGCGCCATCGGATCCCGTTCCAAGGCTATCCGGAGTGTCCTCGGGGAGTCTCGGGGGGCAGTTGGGGCGTTTGGAAGCCTTCGTGAGCGTCCCGGGGGCTCCTTGGCGCCGTCTGGGGGCCTCCAGGGAGTTCTCATGGACCGTCCCCTCGATGCCCGCCGGCACGGGGCCGCGCGGGCGGGCCGCGACGAGCGGGCAGCAGCGGCGGCCTCGGGCGCCGCGCCAGGCATGGTGACCGCCGCCTCCACCGTGAGCTACACCCTGGGGCTCCTGCTGGTCGGGGCCCAGGGGGGGGGATGGGCTCCTCCGCGCCGGCTCCTGCTGCTGCCCGTCGCCGCCGCCCGCCCGCAGGTGGGGGTGGGAGCGCCGCCGCCGAGGGAAGGGCAGGCGGAGCCTTCCCGAAGGTGCGGCTCGGCTGGGCCTCGCGTCGCTGTCGCGGAAGGGATCCGAGGGGCAGGTGTGGAAACTGTGGGGGGGGGGGGAAGGGAGAGAAGGGGGGGGATGGGGGAAGAATGGTGGGCCTGGAGGAGGAGGTGGTGGGAGCAGGGGGGGCGAGGAGGAGGAGGAGGAGGCCGATGAGGATGGGGATGAGGACGAGGAGGCGGATGATGCTGCTGATGCTGATGCTGATGCTGATGCTGATGATGCTGATGCTGATGCTGATGCTGATGCTGATGATGATGATGATGATGATGATGATGATGATGATGATGATGCTGATGCTGATGCTGATGATGATGATGATGATCATCATCATCATGATGATGCTGATGCTGATGCTGATGATGATTATGAGGTGATGATGAGGATGATGATGATACTTATGAGGTGATGGTGACAACGATGATGATGATGATGGTGATGATGATGATGATGCTGATGCTGATATGCTGATTATGATGATGATGCTGATAATGTTGGTGATGATGCTGACGATGATGACGATGATGAGTATGCTGCTGATGATGATGATGAGGATCATGATGAGTATGATGAAGATGCTGATGTGACTGATGACGATGATGCTGATGATGCTGTTGATGATGATGATGCTGATGCTGATGATGCTGATTATATTGATGATGATGTTGATGATGATGCTGATGCTGAGGATGATGATGATGATGATGATGATGATGATGATGATGATGATGATGATGATGATGATGATGACAATGTCGATGATGATGATGCTGCTGATGATGCTGATGATGATGCTGACGATGTTGATATGTTATTGATGATGATGATGATGATGATGATGATGATGATGATGATGATGATGATGATGATGATGATGATGATGATGATGATGATGATGAATGATGTTGATGATGATGATGATGATGATGATGATGATGATGATGATGCTGATGCTGATGCTGATGCTGATGATGATGATGATGATGATGATGATGATGATGATGATGATGATGATGATGATGATGATGATGATGATGATGATGATGATTATGCTGATGCTGATGCTGATGCTGATGCTGATGCTGATGCTGCTGCTGATGATACCGTTGATGATGATTATGATGATGCTGATGATGCTGCTGCTGATGATGATGATGATGATGCTGATGATGCTGAGGAGGAGGAGGAGGAGGAGGAGGAGGAGGAGGAGGAGGAGGTGGAGGCGGAGGAGGAGGAACGGGAGGAGGAAAGGGAGGGGGAACGGGATATGGAAAGGGATGAGGACCGGGAGAATGAGGAGGAGGAGGAGGAGGAGGAAGAAGAGGAGGAGGAGGGAGAGGGGAAGCAGGCCAGCTGAAGCGCCGAGCGGCCTCCCTCTCCCCTCTTCTCCGCGCCGCGCCGCTGCCGTGCATTTTTTTCCAGCCCCCAACCCTTCCCCTCGCTTCCCTCCTCCCCCGCTCCTTGCTTCCGGCGGGCGCGCGAGCGTTTAAGGGGGGGGGGTCTGGTGGCGCACGCCTCCGCGCCGCGTGTCCGTCGCCTCCCCCCCCCCTTACAGATCCCTCCTGCTCTCTCCTCCCTCTTTGCTCCTCTCCCCCGCCGCCCCCCCAGCTGCTCTCGCCTGCTGCGTCCGCCGACCCATCGCCGCTGCGTCGGCGATGCGTCGGCGGTGCGGCGCCGACCCTCTCTGGGAGGCCTCCGGGCGCCCGCGGGGCGCCAGCCTGGGGCGCCGAGGCCGCCCTCCCCCTCCCCCTCCTCCTCCCTTTCCTCCTCCTCCTCCTCCCCTCCTCCTCCTCCTCCTCCTCCTCCTCCTCCTCCTCCTCCTCCTCCTCCTCCTCCTCCTCCTCCCTCCTCCTCCTCCTCCTCCTCCTCCTCCTCCTCCTCCTCCTCCTCCTCCTCCTCCTCCTCCTCCGTGCGCATGGAGACTGGCGACGACGACGGCGACGGCGGCGGCGACGACGACAACGACGACGACGGCGACGACGACGATGATGGCGACGACGGCGACGACGACGACGACGGCGGCGACGACGACGACGGCGACGACGACGACGACGGCGACGGCGACGAGGCTGCCGCCGCAAGCCTGGCAGCCGCGCCTCCCGCCCTCCGCACCCGCCGCGCCTCTCCGGCAGGGCGCCGCGCGCCAGGCCGTGCGCGGCGCGGCCTGGCCTGGCCGCCTGGAGGGCCGCCCGACGGCGGCGGGCCCGCGGCGCCGCTCCCGGCGCCGCCTTCTCTCACCACCCACCAAACCACCCCAACCCAACCCGAACGCTCAGATTTCCCCCCGATTTCCAGTGGGGGGGGGGTCGGGAAACATCGAAAAAACACATGTGGAACCCTTACCCCCCCCCAACCCGAAATTCGGGTCTTCGGGTTGGGTTGGGGTGGTCTGGTAGGAAGTCATTTTCTGCCGGCCGAGGCCTGCGCTGGCCGCCGGCCCCTTCGCGCTCGGGCTTCGGGAGGTGTGCGGCGGCAGGCGGCGTGATCTCTTGGTGTGCCGCGGTCGTCGTCGTCGTCGGCGGCGTCGGCGTCGTCGTCGTAACTGTCGTCGTCGTCGTCGTCGTCGTCGTCGTCGTAACTGTCGTCGTAACTGTCGTCGTAACTGTCGTCGTAACTGTCGTCGTAACTGTCGTCGTAACTGTCGTCGTAACTGTCGTCGTAACTGTCGTCGTAACTGTCGTCGTAACTGTCGTCGTAACTGTCGTCGTAACTGTCGTCGAAACTGTCGTCGAAACTGTCGTCGTAACTGTCGTCGTAACTGTCGTCGTAACTGTCGTCGTAACTGTCGTCGTAACTGTCGTCGAAACTGTCGTCGTAACTGTCGTCGTAACCGTCGTCGTAACCGTCGTCGTAACTGTCGTCGTAACTGTCGTCGTAACTGTCGTCGTGACTGTCGTCGTGACTGTCGTCGTCGTCGTCGTCGTCGTCGTCGTCGTCGTCGTCGTCGTCGTCGTCGTCGTCATCGTCGTCGTCTGCGTTGGCGTCGAGTCGCCCTCCCCGCCCGTCCTGCCCGGGGACTCCTCAGAGGAGGCCGCCGACGGCTCGGCCGCCAGCGGTTTCTCCGAGGAGGAGGGGGTGCCAGTATAGTGCCAGTGCCGAGGCTCGTCCCGGAGAGCCCTCGCCGCCACGGCCGAGTGCTCCTCGGGGGCTCTGGTCGGAGTGGCGCCGCGGGAGGGGTCTGGGGAGTGGCGGGATCGGCGCCCTTCTGTCCCGCCCGGCGCTCCCCGAGGTCCCTCCCTTCCCCTCCCCCCAGCTTCCACGCCTGTCCCTCTGAGGGAGCCAGAATCTAGGTCTGCAGAGGTTGGGGAGGAAGAGAGGAGCGAGGATGAGCCAGGCGCGAGGAAAGAGGAGCGAGGAGCGAGGAGGAGGAGGAGGAGGAGGAGGAGGAGGAGGAGGAGGAGGAGGAGGAGCGCATGAAGCAGGGGGAGGAGGGAGGAGGAGCTGGAGGAAGGGGAGGGGGGTCGCGGCGCGGCAGGTCATCACGTACGTTTTCGCCATCGCGCCCGCCTCGGCGCGACCGCGGCCCTTGGAGTGGCAGCCGGCCTGCTCCGTCGGCCCCAGTGAGGGGGAGGGCATGGGCGAAGAGGGGGCGCTGGGGGCAGGTGTGGCGGGCCAGCGGCTGCAGGCCGCGGGGGCGTCGAGGCCGGCGGCGGACCGAGGGCTGGGCGGAGGGGGGGGGCTCCCGCGTGGCGGGCGCTCACGCCGGGGGGCGCCCCGCGGGGCCCGCGGCCCCCAGGGATGCCTCGGGCCGCCTCGCCCCGCCCCGCCCCGCCGGCCCCCCCTCGCCCTCTCGCGGGCGCGCCGGAGGGCGCGGAGGCTCCTCGTCGGCGCCGGCGCCGGCGCTCCTCGTCGGAGGAGCGCGGGGCCATGCTGTACGGCAGGCTCGTGCCGCGCCGGCCGGCGGCGGCCCCAGCGCGTGCGTTCCAGGTTGGACGCCGCCCGTGGCCCAGGATCGGCCCGTCGCTGAGCGATCCGGCGCTGTCGGAGCGGCCGATCGTTCGAGTCTGAGCGATCCTCGCGGTGTCGGGAGCCAGCGCCGGGTCGACGCGACACGAGCCTGCCGTACCCGTCGGTCGTTGAGAGCAGGTATTTCGGAGGTGGATCGGCCTCCTACCCTGACACGTCGATTAGCGAACTGGCCGTTTTCGGTTCGCGAGAGGGCGTCGCGGCCGTCACTTTTGCGGGTCCAGGTCCGTCGGTTTCGGTCCTAGGCCGTTTTCATTAAAGGGTGGTTTACTAAAGGTCTGTCCACCGCCGAGCATTTCTGGATCCCCAGATCCCAGTCTTCTTCAGGCGCCCTGCTGCTCCAGGGTGGCTTACTAAAGGGAGGTCTGTCCACCGCCGAGCATTTCTGGATCCCCAGCTCCCAGTCTTCTTCAGGCGCCCTGCTGCTCCAGGGTGGTTTACTACAGGGAGGTCTGTCCACCGCCGAGCATTTCTGGATCCCCAGATCCCAGTCTTCTTCAGGCGCCCAGCTGCTCCAGTCGTGGGGCGCGTTCTCCTGGTCCGACCTCTTCATGGGTGCGGGCGGGAGCCCAGTCTGCTTCCACAGCGCCCTGCCATTTCATGATGTCAGGAGGGGGAAGAACACGCAGACACAATCCATCGTCGATCCCCCGGAAAATATAGGAAAATATGGGAAGTGGGGGGAAGACAAAAACCCACGAAATATGGGAAATATGGGGGAATCATGTTACGTGTGTCTATTTATTTGTGTGTCCCAGGGCCCCTGCATACCTGCTTCTTCCGACCGACGGGTAATGATCCGTTCCAGGGTTGCCAGGATGCCCGAATGTTCCGCACGGGCTGCAGAAGCCAGGGCCGCCAGATACCCCGGAAACCCGGAAACCCTGACGCGCATCCTGAGCCAATCCTGTCGTGACATCGTTCTCGTCCTACAGGATTCGGCTTGAACAAGGAACACTTCCTTTCCCAAAGGGGCTCGGTCGTTCCTTTGGTTTGCATGCGTTCCGCTGCCTTCTTGGCGGCGAGCCTCCCTGGAGCTCCTTGGGAAAAAAGGGGCTTCGCTCCTTGTGTGTCGCTCCTTGGGTCAGGCCGAATCTTGGGGGCTTCGTTCCTTATGTGTCGTTCCTTGGGTCGGGCCGAATCCTGTATCGTCCTCTTCCCCTGGGCGTGGTGGACCAGCGGGGGGGGGGGTCTCCCGACGATGGGCACGCGGGCCGAGATGCCGAGAAGGAGGGCCAGGGGCGTCGGACTGACGGCAGGCGCGGAGGCCGCCGGCGAAACAAATACAAAAGTGCCTCCTCAGATGCTGACGCAGCTGACGATGCCGAAGTACGACGACGACGACCTCCACGTGTCGTACATCCACGTGACGTACTTCGAGGGCGTGGCCAAGTCCATGTACAGCCTCATCATCTACGCGACCTTCCTGGACAACCTGGCCGACTTCTGCGGCGCCATCAAGGAGGAGAGCTCGCTATGCCTCGCGGTCCGCGAGGGGGGGAACGAGCCAGGAGCAGAAGCGCGCAGCACCTTCCACTACTCTCACCAGTAATTTACTCGAACAAGATTCATTATCTCCCTCTCTTATCTTTCCACCTTCTCATCATCCTCCTCTTGCTCCTCCTCATTCTTCTACCTTTCTCCTCTCCTCCCTTGTGTGTGTGTGGTCTCGTTTTGCCTGCCCGCGTCCACTTTTCCTACCCCGCCTGGCCTTTGCTGCCCAGCGGTCGACTAAGCTCAACTTCAATGGCGTTATCGGCTCTGATCAACCATACAGGTGATTCGCCTTGGCAGCATCTTTACTTTGAACATCCAGTGCCAGTGACTGCAACCCATGCCCGCGTCCGAGGAACAGTGTGTGCAGGGATCCCTCTATGTGTGTGTGGTCCTTCTGGGTGAACTTGGCGCGCCCCCGCTGCTGTGAGCTGGGCCTGTTCGCGCCGCTCTTTCCGCTTTCGGCCGCTAGCCTGACGCCGCCGCGTTGCAGCGCGCGTGGGGCCACGCCACAAAGGTGTGTGTGTGTGTGTGTGTGTCCCTCGTGCGTCGCGGCCTCATTCGCGTCCGTTTGTCCTGCAACGCCCTATATCCGCCAGCGCAGTCCTTCTGCCTAGCCGCCGACGTAAAAGTGTGTGTGTGTGTGTGTCTGTGTGTGTGTGTGTCTGTGTGTGTCTGTGTGTCTGTGTGTGGGCGAGCGGCATGGACCCACCGCCGCCGCTTCGACGTGGTCTCTGTACGATCCGCCGGGCTCCCGTCGGCCTCGACCCCGTGCGAGATGTGAGGCCACGGCCTCCTGCACCATGCCCAAAAGGGCACGGGCACACCAGTGTGCCCGTGCCCTTCGCCTTCGCCTTCGCCTTCGCCTCCAGCGCCTTCGCCTTCGCCCCAGCGCCTTCGCCTTCGCCTTCGCCTTCACCAGGGCACGGGCAAATGACTCCAGCGCCTTCGCCTTCGCCTTCGCCTTCGCCCCCGCGCGGCCCGCCGCGCCGCTCGGGCGGTGCCGCTCTCTCGGCGCCCGCGCCTCGTCCCGGCCCTCGGCCGCCGCTCTTGCTCTGCCGCCTCGGGCTTTTCGCCCCTGCGGGCCTGCCTCGCTCCGCCCCGCTCCCTCCCGGTCCGCTGAGAAGGAGGAGGAGGAGGAGGAGGAAGAGGAGGAAGAGGAGGGGGAGGAGGAGGAGGAGGAGGAGGAGGAGGAGGCTGACGCTTCAGCGGCTGGACCGCTCTGAGCTCGGCCAAGAAAAAAGGAGGAGGAGGAGGAGAGGAGGAGGAGGAGGAGGAGGAGGAGGGAGGATCTCGAGGAGGAGGAGGAGGAGGAGGAGGAGGAGGAGGAGGAGGAGGAGGATCTCGAGGAGGAGGAGGATCTCGAGGAGGATCTCGAGGAGGAGGAGGAGGAGGAGTCCAGCGCGCCGTGGTTTTCCGGCTCCGGCCGCCCGCCTCTGGTCCTCGGCCGGGGCCCCGTCCGCCCAACTCTGGCGCGCCTCGCCGCGCCGGCGCGCGCCGCCCCGCTGCCCCGCTTCCTCTGCTGCTCTCTTCCCTGTCTGTGCTCTTCCGGCTGCTGCGGCGCTGGGCCGCCGGCCGCGAGCCCAACGGGGCGGCGAGTGGCCCACCCGCAACGCGCGAAACGTGCAAGTAGAAGTGTGTGTGTGTGTGTGCGTGTGTGTGTGTGTGTGTTTGTGTGTGTGTGTGTGTGTGCGTGCGTGCGTGCGTGCGTGCGTGCGTGCGTGCGTGCGTGCGTGCGTGCGTGCGTGCGTGCGTGCGTGCGTGCGTGCGCGTGCGTGCGTGCGTGCGTGCGTGCGTGCGTGCGTGCGTGCGTGCGTGCGTGCGTGCGTGCGTGCGTGCGTGCGTGCGTGCGTGCGTGCGTGCGTGCGTGCGTGCGTGCGTGCGTGCGTGCGTGCGTGCGTGCGTGCGTGCGTGCGTGTGCGCGTGTGCGCGTGTGCGTGTCACGTGTGAGTGCCAGCGCTGGTCTGCCACCTCGGCGCCCCCCCCCGCCGCAGTCGGCAGCTCTGAGTGGCCCGGCTTTTTCTCTCCCAGTTGCGCCGGGGCTCCTCCTCGTCCTCCTTCTGTGCGTTGCGGCCCTAATTTGCATACAGCGTGTCCCCTGTTGCTATTCCGCCGGGGCAGTCATCCTCTGCCCAACCGCCGACGCAACAGTGTGTGTGTGTGTGTGTCTAGGAGGTCATGGCCCCAATCCCTGTCTTGGGCCCCCTGGCTGGCCGCGCTACGGGGGGCTTGGGCAAGGCGTCGGTGCCCGGGGGGCGCTGGGATGTTGCGCCCATCGGGGGTTTTCTTTGCTGGAGGGCTGCGGCTCTGCTGCTGATGCGGCACTCTTTGCTGACTGCCTTGGCTGCCTGATTATTTGACGGGGACTCGCAGTGCGTGCGCCGTAGGCTGATGCGTCGTTCATGGCCGGCTTGTCGCGTTGCACGTGTTGCACGACCGCGCGTCTCTTCACGCTATTCATTTTCTTCGTTTTCTCTCTTTCACTTCCCTTTTCTGATAGCGGCGGCGGTTGTCTGGCTGGGTGGCCAACTCGCTGCTTTCGTTTGCCCGTACAGTGGCACGGTGGACTGATGTTGCTCATCGCTGTCCGTCTTACAGGCGCTGGGATGCGGCATATGTATGTTTGTTGGTAAGTTGTGCGACCATACTCATGCACCCTGCTGTGTTGAAATATTGGGCGCAGGTGATGACGCAGCCTCTTTGTTTCGGTGCGGCCAGCGTTGTCGCGCGTCGCTGGATACCTCACCCATCATCGCGTATTCTTCCTTGCTGGACCGCAGGCTTGGCCACAACACCAATCTGCCTAGCAGCGTTTATTCTTCGCGCTTCACTGTCTAACACCGCTCTGGTGATTCAGTGGCCGCAATTCGTCCCGGACTGTCGCGTGTCAGTTCGCTTGGAGTTGAGTGCTCTCTTCGTTGTTTGGCCGCTGCGTGTGTCGTTTGGATTTACGGTTTTGCGAACCTACCCACCGCTTGCATGATGCAGTGTGCGACGCTTGTACGGTGCGTTATCGACAGCGATCGGTCGCAATTCGCACTTCCATCTGCTACCCGCGCCTGAGGACCGCGTGTGCATGTGTATGTATGTGTGTATATACATCTGTATGTTTTGTGTGTTGTGTGTGTGCGTACGTGCGTGCGTGCGTGCGTGCGTGGGTGCGTGCGCGCGTGTGTGTGTGTATGTGGGTGGGTGTTTGCTAAGTCGGTAGGTTCTGCATCCCGAGCGGTGCCTGACGACGAGGCCGCCGCGCGCATTGTGCGTCGACTTCTCCCGCCTCGTCGCTGCGCGCGAGGCCGCTACTGCCAAAAATGTGTGTGTGTGTCAGTATCGGTCAATTCGCTAGTTCGTGCCCATATCTAGCTTCTCGCTGGAGCGGAGTTCGCCGACTCGCCGCTGACGGACAAGATGTGTGGCAGTATCGTTTAACCGATCCCCATCCCCATTCCAATCCCGAACCCCACCATCTCACCACCCCAGTTGGGGATTGACCTTTCGAAACCCACCTAGGGGGGGCAAATCGGCCAGTGGGGCCCAGGCCACACCGGTGGGGGGGGAGAGGGATCGGCTAGACGATGCTCATTGTGTGTAAGGGGGTATATGGGTCAGCGTGGGCCCGTCTCTCGGGTCCTCCCCGCTCCTGGCCGCCCGCGCGGCCCGCGCCGCGCTCGCGCGCCCAGCCCCTCCCCTTCTCATCGCTGGCGTGGAGAGGGGAGGGGGCTGGCATCGCCGATGCATCGCCAGTACAACGGCGATGCATCGGCGATCCGGTGCAATCCTCCGACCCGACTTGCTCGGACTCCACTTTGGAGGCCTCTAGGAAGTGAGAAGGAAAGGACCTTCTCAGACGGCGGGCGGGCCTCTCAGAGGCCCTCGTGCCTTTTGAGAGGCTCTCAGTTTCTTCGTGGGAGGTTTAGAAGACTTTTCAGAAAGCTACAGTGGGATCCCATGCCAAGAAACACCATGCTTGCCTCCAGTGTGCCCTGGGCTTTTTGGGTTCCGCTGGTTTCGCGATGGAAAGCGCGACGGTCCCACACCGAGAATCCAGGGGCGCCCTGGGTCTCAGGGCTGGGTTTCTTGTGGAAGGTTTCTTGTGGACCGGCCCCCGCTGTATGCGGTGCCGCCTTCCCGCGCGGCCTCGGCTGCCGCCCGCCGCCGCTTCGGCCGCCGCCGCCGCCGGCTGCC